TTTATTGTTATCCCCGCCAGTCGGCTGTCGTCTCGTCAGTAGTTAGTTGTTAGTTGTCCCAAGAGTTTGTGTAGTTTTGCTGACAATTTTTAACAAATGCGTAACATATATGCGGAAAAAATAGTTTTCCTGAAATTACATGTAATATTTTGAACTTACTGGGTAAGTAATATTTAATTAAATCGCAAATTTTTATAAAAAATCGTAAATATGCCTTAAACAGTAATGTTTACAGTTGATCCTTAGCGACATACATACAGTTTTTCTGGTTGCCTAAATTTGTAACTCAGTGTTTAAATTTTTCATGTCTAGGTTCCTAAGAGTACGCAGGCAAAGAGTACGCATGCGAACTCTTTGGATTCGTGCGTACTCTTAGGGACACATGAAATGACTTCTTATTATTTGTTTTAGTTTGTTATAATGGGTAAATACAAGCGAAAGAGCGATAGATCATTAAAATTTACTCAAGAAATCATCGACCAAGCAAGGGACCGCATCGCAAAAGGGGAAAGTAAAAGATCGGTCGCAAAGTCCTTTCATGTGAATGAGTGTACATTAAGAAAAAGATTGCGAGAGGTAATAATAAACTGACGATTTTAACGTCAAAATGCAATTTTATTTTTATTTTAGGGTACTATTCCATCTAGTCTGGGTAGATTTAAGCCTGTATTTTCACAAGCACAGGAAAAGGAATTGGCTGACCATATCAAAGATCTAGATAACAGATTTTATGGACTGCGTATGAAAGATGTTAGGTACTTGGCCTTTCAGTATGCAGAATTAAATAAAATTCCGCATAGGTTTAATACAGAAAACAAGATGGCGGGGAAACACTGGGTACAAGATTTTGCAGCAAGAAATACTTTGTCTCTCAGAGCTCCAGAAAAATGCAGCTTAGGTCGCGCTATCGGCTTTAATAAAGTTCAGTGTCAACGCTTTTTCGAAAATTTAAAAATAGTTTACGAAAAATTAAAACTACCACCACACAGGATCTTTAATATGGACGAGACGGGATTATCTACCGTACCAAACAAGCTCCCAAAAGTTTATGCTTGTAAAGGGAAGAAAACTGTGTCAAAAGTTGTATCAGGTGAACGAGGTCAGCTAGTTACGGCTGTATGCTGCATGAGCGCTGGTGGTACTTGGGTTCCGCCAGGTCTTATTTTCGCAAGAAAAAGAATGAAGGAGGAACTTTTTTTTGGAGCACCTCCTGGGACATTAAAAATGATCTCAGATTCAGGTTATATGAACACTGATTTGTTTGTAATTTGGTTGCGACATTTTTGCGACTTTGTAAAACCATCCGAAACAGATCCAGTGGTTTTAATAATGGACAATCACACATCTCATTGCTCATTGGAGACCATTTTATTCTCTAGAAGTCATTTTATAACGCTACTAACCCTACCTCCTCATGCAAGCCATAAAATTCAACCCTTAGATAAAGGATTTTTCTTTCCCTTAAAACAGCTTTTTCAAACGAATGCGATAAATGGATGGTCAACAACCCTGGACGCCCTATTACTTTAAAAGAAATGGCTGCCATTTTCCATTTTGCTTATTCAAAAGTCACTACTATAGAAATATGTGAAAAATCATTTGCTTGCACTGGGTTGTTTCCTTATAACCCAGACGTTTTTAGTGATTTAGATTTTGCTCCATCTGAGGTCACAAACAGACCACATCTAGACCTGGCCCAAGAAACTCAATCTGAAATATAAAGAATCGAATCGTCTGTTGAAGAGAGTTCATTTGATGACGATTGCACTCTTGCAGAAGTAAGAAATACCATAATAAAAGAAAACTTAAAATTAACCGAAGAAAAGCAATCTACGATTCCCGAACCACAAAGTTCAGACGTTACTGAAAGTACAGCTTACTTTAAAGCAGCTCCTAAGGAACTAAGTGAACCAGGTACAAGTGGCTATATCCCGCCTAAAAACGATAAGGAAAAATTATTTGAAAATGAGCAAACTAGAACACCAAGTCCAAAAAGTACAGGCTTTACCAAAATTTCAACTTATGTTGAGGCTACGTCTGCGGCACCGATTGATCTAGGTTTAAGTGTTTGTATTACTCCTAAAATGATTTTACCGTTACCAAAAGCTACCCATGAACAAGTAAGAAGAACTAAATCTAAAAAGTCGGAAATCCTGTCATCTACCCCATACAAAGACAAATTGTTGGAAGAAAAAGATAGGCGTAAAGAAGGCCTAAAGAAAAAGGGAGGAAAAAGAAAAGTTTTTGGTGATTCTGGGCAAAATACAGAAATCCAGAAGAAGAAAAAAGTTGACAATGAAAAAGACAATACGATTTGTCCCGGATGTTCCGAGCATTATTCTACATCCGATTGGATTAAGTGTCACTTGTGTCAAACATGGTGGCATGATGACTGCTCTAATTATCTAGGAAATGGCCTATTTTCTTGTGACTTATGCCTACATTTAAAAGAATAAGTTTAGGTACAGCCAATTGGGCGATATATCTTACCGCGTACTCTTTGGTTTACATGCGTACTCTTTAGGACACAATTGAGTACTCTTAAGGAACCTGTATCCTAAGAGTACGCATTTTATTGTTTTTGTTTAAACTTTTATATTTTCGTTAAATGTTAAAATGTATGGCAAAATTTGTCTTTTAAGTTTAGATTAGTATGTAAGCTAAAATATTTTGAATAAAAATTTCAACTTAAAGCATTTCAATTATTTTTAAACAAAGTAAATTGGTTAAGTGCGTACTCTTGTGCGATCCTACCCTATAGCCTTCAGCTTTACAATAGCCATCTCCCAATCTGGCAACATCGCCCGCCCTGGATAATTCCTCGTGCAGCGCGCGACGCTTGCAAGCGAGCTACGTCCGAAGTGATGTCGATTTGAAGTGACACCTGTGCCACACTGCACCGTCTACGATCCCCTGCAATTCTACGGTCATTCTAGATCGATAACGCGGCACTTGCGTGCTGCAGCCCTTGAACTTGCACAAGGGCGCAGCCACGATATCAGGGGTGTTGCCAGACTAACAAATATTTCTTAAAACCTTGGTGTCCGTGCCAGATAAGCAATGCTACTATAAAAGCTTTTAAAGGACAAGAGGTGCAAAAAATAACAAAATGAAATAGAAGCTTCCTATGTAGATCTCGTTAAAACGTCAAGTATACTGAGTTACAAAACGAGGTAAACAGCTACGTATGTTGATTAGAATTCAAGAATTTTTTATATATCGATTTACCTTGCCATGAACAACAAGTGATAAAATGGTCAGGTTTTTCTGTTAAGTTTTTCTAGTGGCTTAGTGTATTGTTTGGTGATAAAGAGGCATTCAGTTTTCGTACATTTACTGGGTCAGTTAATGTTAAATTTATATAAATAAATCAAAACAAAAGAATCTGGTGTCTTATGAAAACTGAAATAGAATGAAGGATGGATTTGACCAGGATTTCAAATCATCAGTCCGTTATTCTCCGGGTTACAGTCCGTCAAATACAGCGAATGAGCTTCAAGCTCCAATCAACAAATTTTAGCAACCAATAGCTATGAAATGTTGAAAACAAAATACTGTCAAAGTATGAGATGACAGCTTTTCATGGAAACATCACCTGGTTATTGAATATTAAGAAATTGCATATAATTCAGTCAAACTTTTAAAGTGTTCGATTTTTGAATCAAATTCGATTGTTTATTCATGTTTATATTATTTTCTTGAATTGATATGCGATTTTACTGGTTCAACATCACCTACCTTGTGTTTTTTCCTATAAACTTGTTGCAGATAGCCATTAAGCACCTACTTGATGACAGGGTCTACCAAAAATTTTATAGATAGATAGATAGATTAACTATAGCAGAGTCTGTGGCAGATGATGCAAAGTGGTTAGTCCCCTCCCTAACATCTCCCACACATGTTCAATGAGATTTAAATCTGGTGAACGGGGTGGCCACGGTAAAACATCAATGTCTGCTTCTTCAAAAAAGTCCGTAGTACGACGAGCAATATGGGGACGTGCGTTGTCTTGTTGAAAGAGGACGTGTGGACGGCCCTCTAGATCATTGATTCCCAAAGTGGTCTATATCGACCCCTAGGGGTCTATGACAACCTGCAAGGGGTCTACGTCAGCGAAAAAAAATTTGGGGGACCACGATAGTGGATCTCAACACATACACTGATAGTACCTATTTACTTACATCATACTATCTTATAATATCAAAACATATACATTATTTATAAAAGTACCTATGAAGTAAAAAATTTATTATATATGTTTATAAAATTGTGTAAGTTGTAGGATGTTGGTATTCGCTTTGTGGTCGTAATACATTTTGAACTTGTAAAAACCTGAGAGTCGCAGTCTCAGAGCTTCGCTACCTTGCACTGACTTGTGCAATTCGTCACTCTATAAATACGAATGTGGGACAAATACGTTTATTCGTTTCCTGAATCTTGAAAAGGAAAGTGCTAAGAAAATATTTTAAAAAATATAAACAGATAGTATATCACACAAATTATAGTGAGTCAGTGTTATTTTGCTTGAGAGTGCTGGAGAAAAGTAAGTACATTATTTTTTATTAAATTTTAGTTTTGTACTCGTAGTTAGCAAAGATAGATAAATTACGCGAATCATGACTTTAGTTATTAGTAGTTAAATATTCAATCATGCAAAATTACACGAGTACTCCTCAATAGTTTCTTTTTGAAAGTTTTAGCAATCGGTAATATAATTACAGTACAATCTCCGTAATTCGAGCTAATTGTTGCAAGAAGATGATCGAATTATGGAATGTTTTCGGAAAAATCAAAAAATATTTTTAATATACAGCTGCTGGATTTTCTGTCTTATTTAAATAATTTAATTTTACCCACAGATGACTGATGCCATGTCCGAATTTAAAAAGAAATGTAGACAGTACAGTGTTGATTATTTGAAATTTGGCTTCATTCCATCATTGCCGGACAAACAATCGCCTACGTGCCTTTTATGCAACAAAGTTTTTGGAAATGACGCTATGAAACCATCTAAACTGCAAGATCATCTGAGAAGATACCACCCTGACAAAACAGAGAAAGATTTGAAATACTTTCAAACATTCAAAGATAAATTTCAGAAGAGGCATACACTGGACAGAATGTTCGCTTCGACGTCACAAAGAAATGATGATGGTTTGCGGGCGTCTTACAATATCTCGTTACTTATAGCAAAATCCGGAAGACCGCATACTATCGGAGAGAAGTTAATTTTGCCAGCCGTTGAAGAGGTTTTAAAAACTGTTTTACACAAACCTGCATCTGATATCATTAAAAGAATTCCCTTAAGCAACAATTCTGTTGAAAGATGTATTGATGAAATGAGTTCTGATATTGAAAGCTTCTTATGTAATTATTTGCAAACGACCCATTTCTCTATACAACTGGACGAATCAACTTTACCTGATAATGCAGCATTATTATTGGCATATGTTCGTTTTATTATAAATCAAGAAATCTACGAAGAACTGCTCCTCGCAAGAACTTTGATAACCGACACTAAAGGTGAATCAATATTTCATGTTTTGAAGGATACTTCATTGAAAAAGCAATTCCTTTATTAAATATGTATAATATCAGTAGCTACAGATGGAGCACCTGCCATGGTTGGACGTTATCGTGGATTTATAAGCTATTTAAAACAAAATGTGTCAGGGGTGTTAGCAGTACATTGCGTCATCCATTGACAACAATTAGTTGCTAAAACTTTGAGTGTTAGATTGCATGAATCACTTCATTTAGTCATTGATGCAGTAAACCGAATCCGAAGCAACGCGTTGAATACGCGGTTATTTGCGCAGTTGTGTGAAGAAGATGACGAACACTATCATCAATTACTCCTTCACACTGAAGTACGCTGGCTGTCGAAAGGCTTATGTTTGACAAGATTTTTTGCACTTTTTGAGACTATTTTAGAATTTCTGTATACTAAAGATAAAATTTTAAAAGAAAATTTAATGAAGAGGAAAACAAACATCGCCTATTTAACAGATTTGTTTACCAAATTTAATATGGTTAATTTGCTATTATAAGGCGACAGTTAAAATTTGATTAAAACAAAGTCCATCATATCAGCGTTTCTTGCCAGAGTTAAAATAATGAAGCAAACTATTGGACGGCGCGAATTTTCTCAGTTCCCCAATTTGTCACAGACAAGCTGCCAGGAAGACGACGTTTCAACTTACGTTCAACATTTAAATGCCCTCTATTCAGATTTTGAATCTAGGTTTGAGGATATTTTGTCTATGGTAATACCACCGTGGATAATTAATCCATATGGTGACATAGAAGAAACGAATGCCATAATACAAGAGGAACTGACTGAACTAAGTACAAACGAAAAACTTAAGGTTCAGTTTAAAAACGGATATCAGCAATTCTGGCTGCAAAACAACATACCCGTTACTTATCCTGTATTATGGAATATAGCGAGGAAATTTTTAATTTCCTTTCCATCGTCGTACCTAGTGGAAAGGGGGTACAGCGCTGTTACCAATCTCCTAACGAAAAAAAGAAACAGACTGGACATCACTAGCCGAGGAGATTTAAGATTAACCCTTACAAAATTGACGCCAAATGTTGATAATTTATCATTAAAGCATCAGGTTCATCCTTCTCATTAAAAATATTGACTTATTGCTTATGTTATTTTATTTATAGTCTATTTGATGTTTATTGCTGTCTGACCAATAAAAGCCCGCATTAGGAATAAGTACCCGCATTGATTTTTTAAAGAACCCCCTTTTATAGAACATATTTTTTTTTTAATTATTCTGAAAATTCAAGGATATGTACACACTAAAATTCGTTAATTTTTTGCCTATTTTTAGATAACTTAAACGTATAAGAAGCGGAATTTAATCAAACTAACAGTGAAATTATTGTAGAACATACGTTTATGTTATAATTAATAAACGAACTCGCTTATTGTACTATTTTAAGTAAAAAACTTTTTTTTTATTATTTTTCACTTTTTTTCTATTTTATCCCTCTTATTTTTTTTTTCAATGCGGGCACTTATTCCCAATGCGGGCACTTATTGGTCAGACATCTGTTTATTTAATGTTACGTATATTTCACATAACAGATATAAAATTTTATTTTGAGTAGTTTTAATTTAAATTCAATTAATAAATGTATAAATTAACGTGTGTTTTTACTTTAAGTTTTTAACACTAAACTTCACTACAGTTAGAAATTTACAGGAAATCAATATCAGGTAAGTACGGGGTCTACCCAACACAGAAAAACATGGCAAGGGGTCTACGACAGAAAAAAGTTTGGGGAACGGCAGTGGTTTGTCATATTGCCTTGAACAAAGAGAAATGGTCCTGTGTACATGCCTCTCAACAGCAAATACAATATCGCACGCTTATTTCACCTTTAGCAGTGCTTATTTTGCAATATTCAAATTGAAGCCCATAATCATATCCCCTGGAGTAATAAGCTGTGACATGCAGGTGAAACCTCTGTTATGAATTCTTATGTGCTACCAGTGCCTATTCTTTGAATCGCCCTTCTCGGAACATCCTGGAATGAAGCAGAAATATAATATTTCCCTTCCTGACTGATTCATTATATAACTTAAGTAAGCCACACACTGTGAGACTTGCCTCGAGGTACGTCGCGAGGCGAGGTCTCATGATATCGGCAGACGTCAGTCCCCAGTCACTCGTCACCCCACACCTTGAGACAGTATCGCAGACGGTATCACACAGTTCGCTATTTTTTTGAGAGTGAATATAAAATGGCCTTTCATGAATATTCAAAAAAACAAAAAGTTGCACTTGGTGTTGCCATTGGTTTGGTACTATTCGAGGAAAAACAGGAAAAAAGAAAATGGTCAAAGAATTGGTTTCTTGAAAGGAAGAAGTTCTCTCACATGCCACTTTTAAAAGAATTGCAGCAAAAAGAACCCAAAGATTTTTTGAACTATTTGCGTATGAACGAAAAACAATTTAATTTTCTTTTAAATTTAATCCGGCCAGACATTGAAAAGAAAAATACTGTATTAAGAGAAGCGGTATCAGCTGAAGAGCGATTGGTCGTTACTCTTAGATATTTAGCTACTGGTCGAAATTATGAAGATCTGAAATTTTCCTGTGCTATTTCTCCACAGTTACTGGGTGAAATTATTCCAGAAACTTGCTGGGCAATATACAACGCTTTAAAGGAAAAGTATTTGAAGGTACGTTTTTATAATATACTTTTTATTATTTTAAATGCAAAACATATTAAACATTAAACTTAGCTAATGCTGTCAAAAAATACTTATAATTCAGTAAACGAGTAGTAATACAGTTAACGTAATATTCCAGTGGCAGAACTAGTCTTGGAAGTTTTCATAATATGAATAAATATCTCCCTGTGCAGTTGGTTGTTGAGGTTGCTGCTCAGATTGCTGTACTGTATAAGCTATATTGGAAAAAGTATTACTCGGTTCCACATGGGTGCGGGCCTGTCGTACTTCAAAGTTTTCATTTAACTTATTCAGTTTGCCGTAGTACATTACATCATTTATAAGCTTTTCTGCAATTACTCTCTGATTAGATGTCATTTGCTTTAAATCAGAAGCAAATTTTTTTCCTGCTATGTCGCAGGGATTTTCAGGTTCCGCACATGTAGGGGGTTTAGACAAAGCCCTATGAGCTAGTTCCACAAGTTCATTTTTTTTCTCCTCCATTCCTTTTTTTCTTTTTAATATTTTAGTTCCTAGTGTTGGAGTTGATGTTGAAGCCGATGAACTTGGCCTAGTAGTACTTGGTAAAGATTCCGAGTGAGCAGGAGGAGAAAAAGCGTTATCATAACTGTCCTCATCTCGAACATTGTTTTGATTCTAAAACAAATAATTATTATTAATTCAAACAATTTAATACTACTTTTTTATTACAGTTTCCATCTTCCGAGGAAGAATGGCGCGGGGTTGCAAAGGAGTTCGAATGTTTGTGGCAATTTCCCAATTGCGTGGGTGCGATCGATGGAAAACACATACAAATAAAAAAAACCTAGAAACAGTGGTTCATATTATTATAATTATAAAGGAAACTTTAGTGTTGTGCTAATGGCAATTGCAAATGCAAAATACGAATTTATAATGGTTCATTGTGGGACCAATGGTAGGGTATCAGATGGTGGAGTTTTGAGTGAAACCAAGTTTTATGAAAAGCTTATAAATAAAAAATTATGTATGCCCGATCCGACAGAACCCCATGCAACCAATGTGATGTTACCATATACATTTGTTGGAGATCAGGCTTTTCCATTAACTGAAAATTTAATGAAACCATATCCAGACAAAAATTTAACAAGAGAACAAAAAATGTTTAACTACCGACTCAGTAGAGCACGCAGAGTATCAGAAAATGCATTTGGTATTATGGCCTCACGATTTAGAATTTTTCACACAATAATTAGCATAAATGTAAGACATGTGGATGCTGTAGTATTAGCCAGTTGTGCATTACACAACTTTTTAACACGAAATGGCTCAAATCGATATATACCGCCATTGTATGCAGACTCTGAAGACGTACATTCCGGAGAAATAATACCTGGCCAGTGGAGAGAAATAGGAGAACTTATACCTCTGCAACGAATAGCGCGTGCTTCAAATGTGTCTGCGAGAGAAATTCGAGATAATTTTAAAAATTATTTCAATAACAGCGGAGCAACCGATTTTCAGGACAGGATGGTCGTTTAAAGAGTATTAAGTTTTTATACTGAAATGTCTTAAATAAAATAATAAACTACTTACTGTTATTTCACTCTCTTGACTTTCGTCTTCGCTAGTAATAGTTTCAATTCCTTTTCTAGGGATTTCAGTGTCCGAAATAAAACTTAACAGGTCAAAATACCAAAGGCTGGGTACATATACATCATCAGCTTGTGTACCCGTAGGCTTCGACTTCTGTACTTTTTTCAGCTCTCTTCTAAAAGCACAGCGCATGTTATGTATTTTTTTTGAGACATAATCTCTATTTGCCATTGGATATATTTCTTTGCATTTTTCCACCAGTCTATCTAACGCTGAGTTTTTCAAATTTCTATCCATATACGTTTTAGCTTTCACATCCCATAAACATGGGTTGCTCCTGTACATTTCAATAAATTCTTCCCAAAATTCTCTTTCCTTATTCATCTTCTTTATTACATATAATAATTATAACAATTTCGGAACAACGAAATCTCACGAGATTCATGCGACTTTGGCACACACGTTGAGACTGGTCAGATTTTTCCTCGCGGCAAGTCTCAGTCTCCCGCCCGCGTCGGTCTCGTTGAGACGGTATCACACGATACAAAAATTATCGATACCGCAACACACACCATGAGATTTGTTATCAGAGATCTTGGTCTCGCGGCATGTCGCGAGGAAGATCTCACAATGTGTGGGCTACTTTAATGTCAACCGTCCTTCACTCGACTCTAAGAAACAACCTTTTTGTATCCTTGATAAATTCCGAGACTCCAAGCAATTCACTGCCAAGGTCAAGTTGCCATTGTCTGGCTCTTCACAACAGTGCAGCAGAATATACATAGACCGACATTCACAAGGATTTGTCGG